CGGGAGCGAATGGGTAGCGCTGGGTGCGAGGGCGACGGCAGCCTGCCCGCGGAGCGGCCGGGCCGCCGGGGAGCTATGCTGACAGAAATCGGGTGAGATGAGATGGGTGACGTTTGCTTTTATCTAAGGAAGTAACCATGGGAAGGGGAAAAAAAAACACAGAAGCGAACAAACTCATTTGATCCTGATCCCATAACGCACTGTAAATACAAAATTAAATACTTCGTATCTGATCTGACACCTGTTACACCTCAATTTTATAGGTAATGTTTATCTGGAAAATAGTACTGTGATTGAAGTGCCCCGTTTCCAGGGCAGGGGCAACTGGATGGTGTTTTGCTACAATACAGTCGCGGTCTGACGTCTGCTCGAGCAAGTTGCCCAACAGGAAGGAAGCGATGCCTAGAAACCTCCTCAGCCCTGGCTCACCACCAGCTGTCGGAGGTACCTGCAGACGTAGACTACTGTGCCGTCACAGCCGCTGTCGATAACCAGACAACCAGCCTAGCAAAGCTGGCTGGCTCCAAGGGCAGGAGGAGCGGTAAGGGGTTGTACAGCCCCTGCGGCACCCCCCGGCCGGCTCAAAGTTCCCTGTTGGACATCTAGCAAAGCCCACGCTGCCAGGGCGGGCCCAGCAAAAGCCACTCTCGTCGGCTCCTCGGCATGCAAGAGTCAGCTTTGTCGGCTAAAGTTCATCTAATTTGACCTTAACAACTTGCAATGATGTAAGACGCTACAATCTCCCAAGACAATCTGTTCCAGTGTTCATCGCCGCAGAGAGTCCCCAGGTAAAGGGCAGACGGTTTGGAAGAGGGTAGGGACCCAGGTCGTAACGCCTGCCTCAGCTACGCGCAGCCTGCAGGCATGACACAGGCGGGTGCCACGGAGACATGAGGATGGCTTAGTCTGGTGATGCCGTACCAGTGTGGTTCTTATCCTCTCTGCCCTTAGCCCTGGTGGAAAGAGATTATTTCTTTCCCTTTGCAGGCGCCTTTTGGGATGTGAAGATTGCTGCCATGCCCCCTTCAGTCTTCTTTGGCTAAATTTATCAGTTTTATAAATGAGCAGAATGTCAAAGCAATGTCCTGCTGCCCCAAGAAAATCATTACTCTAGCACAGCTGTACAAGCACTGATTAAGACGACAGGTTTTGGTAGGTTTTGATTCAAAAAGGCATTAACAATGACTTAATATTCCTGTGTCTTTTTATTCAGCTTTTAATTTTCAGAAATAAGTCTTCTATATTAGTGTCTTAAATATTACCTGATTAGGCCTTGATCCCATGACCTCTTACATGAATGGATCAAGCTTTGAACTGAATTATATTAAGAAGAAATGTTCTGTAAAATGACACGTAAACAAAACCATATGCGACACGTTCACATCTCCTAATAAAAATAGTTAAAAATCTAGATAGAGCAGAAACTTCCCTTCATATTACTCAAAATTATTCCAAAGCTGTATAGCAATTACTTAATATGTAATTCAAGTTAGTCGTGATGAACAACATTGGCAGAAATTTGTATCTTCATTCTTAATCCCTCACTGTAAGTGGCTTAACAAGAATTCAAACCTGCCTCTGTATTTTGCTGTAGGAAGATATACCATCGTTGCCCGAGTCTCCCGCTTTTAATAAGAAATACCGCAAGAAACACAGAGATACCACTGTAGTATTTTGCATGAAAATGGTACTCCACTAAAATAAAAAGTCAAAAGTATTCTCATCGCATGCTCACATTAGTCTTTGTAGATACCTGTAGACTTTTCTTACTCTTTTTTAAAGCTATACAGGCTGAATTTTTGGCACAGTGCAAAGTATACATTTGTTTGCAAAATACACATTTGACGTGCTTACATAAACACATGCTCTACAAAGTGGAAATGCTGTATCACCTACCCCGCCATCTCTGTCGCATCCATTACGGTGGCATGTCAGTGATCTCTGTAGGCCTGGATGGACCAAACCTTTCAGCACTGGAAATCTGATGTCTGTTTTGGGCCACCTCCTTACAAACCAGGTAAGATTGCATCTGATGGACCAAAATGCTTGAATTTGTCTTGGTGCAGTGGAGACAATTCAGCTGTTGTCTTCTCTCTGCTGACTTTTGTCTTTTGAGGCTAAACGTAGCAGGTTAGACAGGCTCATTTTGTGGGCTGGATTTGGCCTCTGGTCTACTAGTTAGTGCCCCCCTCGCTCCCCAGTTTGGGCCACGCTCAGTTCCCTATTTATGCTGCTTTGCTCTGTCCTCTAAAAATAGGGTGTACGTGTACAGAGAGAGCCCTGTACTTTGCGTTACCTGAGCAAAGTCAAGGTGAGAACTGCAGAGAGAGGGCCTTGCTAATACCAGGTCTGGGAAGAACAAGGCTTACCTAGGCCATAATAAAAGAATGCCCAGTAATCATGACTAGGTAGGGCATGTCTTTCACTGCTTCTCTACCTCCCTGGGATATTTATAGTTTACACGTCACCAGTGAATCATAGAATCACAGAATGGTTTGGGTTGGAAGGGACCTCTAAAAGTCATCTAGTCCA